CATTTTTACTCAACTTCATAATTGCTTTAAAATGATTCTCTTTTTGTCCCTAAACACTTTTAGTCCCTAAAATGTCAGTACATGATGGCTTTAGGCCCAGATTGAGAAAATGTGTTGATTTTGATATAATAAACTGTTTTGTTCTTTGAAGTGAAGAAAACTACAAATGTTCCAAAATAATAAGTATGACAATGAAGCACTGTAACACATACCTAGCCTAGCATACTTGTTTCCTAATAAATGTTTATAATGCTGCATTTGTTAATATAACAACTTACAAACGAGAAATGCTACAAACAGTTCAACATAAAGAATAAGTAACATTTGAAATTCCAAAACACAAACAATAGAGAGTATGTGCTCGTTTTATAGTCCTTTTACAGAAATTGTTATAGTTGATAAACTGTACAGTGGTGCTTGAAAGTTTGTGAACCCTTTAGATGTTCTATATTTCTGTATAAATATGACCCAAAACATCAGATTTCCAGTCCTAAAAGTAAACCAAGAACCCAATCAATCAAATGAGACAATTATATACTTTGTCATTTATTTATGATGAATTATCACTAATTTCAATAATAGTCAATTTTGGTTTTCTCCAGATTTGCAAGGACATTTATCATAATAAGTCAAAAAACAAATCTCAAACAAAAATACAAGAAAATTCATCAGTGATCTCTAAGGTGATGTTCAGTATAGATATGATTTTCACTGCACTCAAAGCGCTTTACATATAGAAAGGGGGGGGGGGGGGAGGGGGGAGGACTCCTCAACCACCACCTATGTGCAGCATCCACCTGGATTATGTGACGGCAGCCATATTGCGCCAGAACGCCCACCACACACCAGCTTTATTAATGGAGAGGAGACAGAGTGATGAAGCCAATCAGTATAAATATATGGGGATGATAAGGCGGTCATGATGATGGACAGAGGCCAATGGGCAAATTTGTCCAGAATGCCCTTTGAAAAAGAGTAGGGGTGTAACCCCGCCATCCTGGCAAAATTAGCCAGGATTTTAAAACGACCAGAGTCAGGGCCTGAGTTTAACGTCTCATTGGAAGGATGGTGCTTGTTACAGTACAGTTCTCCATCACTGGGGCATTAGGAGCCACACAGACCTCAGGGTGAACACCCCCTGCTGGCTTCACTAACACCTCTTCCAGCAGCAACCAAGTTTTCCCAGGAGGTCTCCCATCCACTGACCAGGCTCAACCCTGCTTAGCTTCAGTGGGCAACCAGTCTTGGGCTACTGGGTGATAGCTGCTGGCATCCAGATTTCTTTGAATGGTATGGTATTCTCAAGACCAAGGATCAATAAAAATGAACCAGACTACCTTTATAATGATGTTGTAGAGTGCTACAAGTTATACTTTACACAGGAAAAGCAGACTGGGAAAGGCATTCTAAATGAGAGAGGGGGAAAAATAAGTCTTTTGGAGGACTACTTAATTTCCAAAAACCTGACATCCGTATACATGAACAAAATTGAAGTGCAATTAAAAAAAAAAAAAAAAAAACCTGATAATGAAAAAAATAGAGCGAATAACAAAGTAGAAGCCCAGAGTTTTACCTCTTGATCTTTTTGCTCTTTTGGCCTGATGAAGGGATGCCAGGAAAACTGTGTCCAATAGGGTCATTCATAATTGAGGAAGTATCTAAAATACTTTCGCGATCACTACCTCTGTTCTTTGGGAAAAGAAAAGGTTTGCAGAGACTGGTTCACTCAAAACTATGTCAAACTGATCTGGAGCTCCTAACTGGAACAATATTAGTGGTAAAAAACAAATAAAAAATGCTTACCACCAGCATTATAAATGATATATTTGAACTTTTTTTGTATCTCTCTTCCCTATACGTCTTCTACATTCCTCTGAAAATGTTCTCAAATGTCTAAATTATTTACCATGATTTAACTCATACTTTACATAAAGTGGTGATTGCTCTTTCTCAATATTACGAAGCCAATCTGGATTTCAAGGAGAGATTTGTTCAGAGAATCATTCAGCCCCACAGTCACCTAGTCGAGCAGTTAAATCACTTCAAATATAACTATTACACTGAATAGTAAAATCGATACAGTACATACCATAATACATTTTTAACACAATCAAACGTCATTACTGACAAATGTTTGGCAAATATGAAACCTGTTTTACTAGTCTGAAATATAAAGTATTACTTAACTTACAGTTTGATGTTGTAGGAAACAGGTCCTCTGATTTTGAAGCCAAGGTAGAAGGACAACATGTTTGTACACAACTTCCGGTTTGTGAAGGGTGACCTGAATCTGTTTCCCATCTCTAACAGCAATAATTGTACAAATAATTCTAGACCTCCCCATTGCTAGGCTGAAGACATTTGACTTCTACATTTTCATCTCCTTCAGTTAGGGAAAATACATTCTGTGAAACTCACTTTATTATTCACATAGACATTTAAGATGTATTTGTTATACATTGTAGTGTCTATACATTTATTCCAATAAAATAATATTACACTATCACTTGCTGTGCACATCTTAAGTGGGCACTTTGCATGCAGAATGCATGCCCGTTGTAAAACAATACACCAAGTTCAAACTGAGTTACTAGATCAGAATTGTGCATAATTTATCTTATCTAGCTGGTCTTGTGCAACTGGACTCAAATGCTGGTTTGATACAGACTACTGGTTTTCACATTCATTTTATTAGCCTAATGATTATAAGTACTTGAAATATGTAACAATAAAATTATACTGAAAGCAACCTAGGCCTGGTCTCGCCAGTCACTTGTTAATAATTAACAAATTGTTAATAATCCTGAATACTTCGGAATTCAAGCACAGGCAGAGCACAGACCAAAGTTTGGTATATCCTTTTAAAGGTGAAATGTCAGATTATTGTAAAATATATATATATATATATATATATATTTTTTTTTACAAAATATGTTTTTTACAAAGCATGTTTAACTCTAAATCAAAGCCAAACATCTGAACAAGTTCTGTGCCAAATTTTAGGTTGACATTGTGGTAGATTTTTTGAGAGGAGACGGAGTGATGAAGCCAATCAGTATAAATAAATGGGGATGATAAGGAGGCCATGATGATGGACAGAGGCCAATGGGCAAGTTTGTCCAGGATGCCCTTTGAAAAAGAGTAGGGGTGTAACATAAATATTAAATTCAATCTTTAAAACACGCATTAAAACATATGTAAAGAACAGAGCGTGTGTTTGGCATCGTATCACAAACGGAGAATCTATCGAAATGTATCTATTGCACTCATTTCTTTTGAAAAACAGGCACCAAATATGAAAACTAGTCTGAAAGCTTTCAAATGATAGTTTGTCATGATATTATTGTTATAAATGTGTAATCGCAAACATCCCACAGATGTGGGCGAGGGGCAGTCTTAAAAATAATGGTTAAAAACATTTAAATTCAGATATCTGTAATGTGTGAAAAGTATTGATATTAAAAGTTGGTTGTTTTTTTCATATTGTGATTTTTGGACAATTGTTTTGAATCCAATTAGGGTCAATTTGTCCCGCTCCAAAAAGGCTGTATCCAGAAATTGTTAAAGGGATAGTTCACTTTGAAATTACTTTTTGGTATGTTTTAGCTTACCTCAAGGGCATCCATGATGTAGGTGTCTTTGTTTCCGCAGTAGTTTCAATTTTGATATTTTTAGGTCAAACCGTTCTTGTCTGTCAGTCATATGGTCTATGGTAACTTCCTCAAAGAGCATGCACAGAGAAGTCCAAATTAAACATGATTTAATGACTCGTAAATGTTAGTACACATTGATGGCCTAAGACACGAAACGAGCGGTTTGTGTGAGAAAATGAACAGTATTTATATCGTTTTTACCTCTTGTAAACACAGCCACGTCCAAGTGATCTGATGGTGTACACGCGCGAGGAAAAAACCGAAGCGCTGGCGCCATCAGATCACTTGGACGTGGCTCACTTGGACTTGGACTTCTCTGTGCATGCTCTTTGAGGAAGTTACCATAGACCTGCATTATATGACTGACAGACAAGAACGGTTTGACCTAAAAATATCAAAATTGAAACTACTGCGGAAACAAAGACACCTACATCTTGGATGCCCTTGAGGTAAGCTAAAACATACCAAAATTAATTTCAAAGTGAACTATCCCTTTAAAATACATCAAAAGCATGTTTGATCTAAACACATCTACAATTATAAATTGTACTCATTATGCTAACTTAACAGAATAAATTAGTTTTTAAATTGATGATTTTAAATTAGATTTAAATTACCAGTCTAACATTTTTGTTGATTAAACTAAAATAATTTTTATATAATGTAGTTGATTTTGAGCTCTTTATGAGATATGCTACAGTAAGTAATATTTAACTCAACTATACAGTATTGAATGATCACATTTATTCCAGTAAAATATGTTAGCAATGTTCATTAAATTTGCATGCTAAATAAGTTACAAAGTATGTGCTATGCTAGCTGTTAATTGAACCTAAACTAGGTAAGATTAATTGGTTACAGGGCCACCACTCCATTTAAATTATGTTGAAACTAAACTATTGGAACAACTTAATTTTTATGAGCAATGCAACAAATTAATTTCCTTCTAACTCAATGTAGTTTGTTGGTAGAACAATTTCATCAGAAGTTGTTATAACTCAAAAAGATTTATGCTAACTACTGCGTTATATTTATTAGTATTTTTCTTGATCCAAATCATTTGTTTTTAGAGTGTATTCTGTGGACTGGCCAGAAAAATCCTCAATACATTAACAAAAAAAAAAAAAGAGAAAAGAAAAGAAAACCCTTACAGACCAACATCCTTAACGAATGTTGTCATTTAAAATAAACAATTAATCAATAAAGAACACATACAACCCATTTATTCCACTTAGTTATAATTGAGACACTTCAAAAACAAAACGGTACAACAATATTCACACACAAATGACAATACAAAGATGTCCTTACATCTTTTTTAAAACAATTAATTCCTCTCTCGATAAGTCAGGTGTGGTCGACATAAGCCAGGTGCCGGTCAAGGCTCTTTAGAGTCTTGCAGCATTTCCCACAAAGGCTACACTTGAACGGACTCTCTCCGGCATGAGAACGCCAATGGATGCGTAGCTTTCTCCAGTGTTTGAACCTCTTGCCACATTGAGTGCAGCTGTACGGTCTCCTTAAATGTAGTTTCTTGTGCTGACGGAGGGTTTTGCGTAGGATGAAGGTCTTGGAACAGAGCGAGCAGCTGTAGGGTTTCTCGCCGGTGTGGAAGCGTTTGTGCCTTCTTAGGGTTCTCTTGTAGATAAAGAATTTGTTACAGATACTGCAAACATGCAGTTGTCTAGACTGGCTGATGGATCTTTGGAGTATTTCAGCCTTCTGGAGTTGTACAAAGCAAGGTCTTAAACACCCCCTGTGTTGAGGCGTCGAAGAGCGATTGGACAGTTGACAGTTGTCCAGCTTCTGCAAAGGTTCAAGCCTTTCCTGTGACTCCATTTTTACAAGATGGCTCTGAGGTATCTGGCTTCGTACAGTGCCAAAATAAACCCCAAAAGAAGACTGATTCCAGTGAAGACAGGCATCCTCTCGTTGAAAAGAGGTGCTCTGGTCTAACTCTACTGGTTCATGAAGCTCACCATCTTCAGGCTTCAGCTGAGCTTGAGTATTTTCACCTGAGATCTGGCACACCTGCGTCTCCTCTCGACATCCAGTTTCTAGTTCTTCTTCTTCAGTCGTCACAGCGACATCTTCATTTTCACGTTTAATGACTTGTTCGGGCTCTGGTTCAGTCTTGCCCGATGTTTCTGGCTGATGATCAACAGTTGGCGGCCCTTCTTCAGGCTTTCCGATGGGTATGTTGGGAATCTCCAGAAATGTCTGCATTTCATTGTCATTTATGGATTCTGTAGTTTGTATCATCATATCTTCTACAATGGCTATCTGTATGTCATCCTGTTTTATCTGTGCTGTTAATATAGGAGATGACACCTGCACTGGATACGGATTGAGAATTTTCAGGGTGTTGGACTGGTTTGGTTCTACTTCTGGTTGTTCAGATTCCCTGTGCGTCAACTGCAATGGAGTGACTGTGTCACTACATTGAAAGCTCATTAATAGTTGGGACTCTTCAGATTCCACTCTGACTTCACTGTCCTGCTGAGACTACAGGACAAAAGACAATTAAAAAGAATTAAAAATGGAAGAAAATCATATACTATGATGATGCAATTATTGTGCAATCAAATAATGGATAAAGTAGTTAAATCAGATGCAGAGTACAAAGTTTATGGCCCTTTACATTAGGGATGCATGATGATATCGGGACAACATCGGTATCGGCCGATAAAAGCTTAAAATGACCATCATCGGCATCGGCTGATATGAATATTTCTGCCGATGAGCCTTGCCGATAGGGTGGCGTGTTTCCTATGCGCACGTGACGACCGTGAACGAAGCATGAGCGCCAGCAACTTAAACTTCCAACTAGGGGTGTGCGTCTCACGCGGTTTTTGATCGTGGACGATTAAAATGTCTCCACGATCTGCTTTTGAAGAAAAATCATAGTATCGTGCATTCTATCAGTTCAATTCTGGCGCCTTCATCTCAACATACTGTACAACGCGACGTACATTCACATCACATCACATGTAAACGCAGAGGTAGAGTTACACTCACGGGACACCGCAATTCACAAAAGTTCATTATTTGCATGTGCGTCAAAGTCTTGCTAGGTAACGTTAAACATATCATTCACGTGCTGATGCGCTGTTCTAACATGCGCTTTTCCGAGCGCGTACACGCAACGCTCACAGGAACTAAAAGCCTGTCACAGCGCCTGCATACTGGACTAATCTTTCGAGTCTTATTGCGCTGAGACTGTCAAATAAACACAAGGTTTACATAAACAAAGTTGGTTATGTCTAAAGTGAAAGCAAACAGAGAAAATCTGCTTGTCAAATGTGTGTATATTAGACGTGTCACGTGCAGTTCTTAAAGAGACAGTAATAATATGCTGCCGCTTGTCCTTAAAGAGATACTGCACCCAGAAATAAAAATTCTGTCATTATTTACTCACTCTAATGTTGTTCCAAACCTGTATTCATTTATTTCTTGTGCTTAAATATACTATGGAAGTCACTGAAATACAGCAACTGTTTGGTTAGCCACATTCTTCCAAATAACTTTTATTTTCAACAGAAGAAAGAAACTTGAGAGAGTAAATGATGACAATTAAAATTTTTGGGAGAACTATCCCGTTAATGTTAATAAAACAACAAAACACAGAGGAAATCAATCACTGCTCTTGACTGAGAACTTTAATAGAAGCTTTAATAAGCTTTTTTTGCACTTAAAAAAAAATACAAATATATCGGTATCGGGCAAAATTAGTTTGAAAATATCGGCATATCGAATATCGGCCAAAATCCTATATCGTGCATACCTACTTTACATGGATTTCACTTGACCTTTATGACTGTTGACGGTACAATATTATTCCAATTAGATATTGGGTAAAAAGCCAATGCAGACTGTGCAAAGTCAAGTATTATTTAAGCCAGACTGCGTGAATAAAAAAAGGTTAAAAAAGGAGCTTTGTGCCATATAATTGATGCCATAAAAGAACCATTTTTTCCGAAAGAACTTTTCAGTGAACAATATCTTATAAATAAAGGTTCTTTATTAGCATTGATGGATCCACGAAGAACCTTTAGCATTCATTGAACCTTTCTAATGCAAAAAAGGGTTCTTTATAGTGAATAAAGATTCAGATTATTAAAATGTTTTACACTAACTTGCTTCTTTTAAGAACTGATCACTGAAGAAAAATGGTTCTTCTATCTATCGCATCACTAGGGACTTTCGCAATTTTGTTATAGGAACTCTGTTAAAGAAACTAGCCACCAGGGCGGCCCCCCGATAACTAAAGCCCTTTTCCCTAGGGTCATTTTCCTGGTTGCATTCACACCACCAGGAGGAACTCTGAAGTGGCGTAAGCCAGTTGACAGTGACATCATTTAACTGTGGCATTTAACAACGTCAACAACTTGAGGATGGAGTATGCAGTGATAGGTTGAGATATGCCTGGACTTCAGGGTTCGTGAAGTTAGTTCATGGAGTAGGCATATGTAAACTGTGTGTTTACACAGCTTTTTAAAAATGGTGGGTGGTGGTGTTTCGTATGGCATGCGTTCGGCTATTCAATGTACACTTACACGTCACTGGTAGTTCCTATTGTGCTGGGTTAGACCCTATTCTGAAGTAGGAGCTAATTAAGTCTCCCCAAAAGGCGTTCCTATAACTAAAATCATTCGCTGTTCCTGAGGTGCGAACATGCCTAAAGGCAGGAACTTCCGCCAATAGTTGTAGGAACTACGAAAACGTTCATCTGGTGCGAAAGCCCCTGTGAAAACACCCTGAACCTGTATTTTTAAGAATGCAGGTCTTAAAAGAAGCACCACTTTTTAGTATGAAGAACATTTTATTAATCTAAAATTCTTCTATCCAAACATTTTGCAGAGTGGTTGAAAAAGAAATCCTGGACAAATACACTAGAGACTATTCTTATTCTAATGTGACCTATCATGAAAGATTGGCCATAGAAGAACTCGCTAGAGATAATGATATCATCATCAAACCGGCTGATAAGGGGGGTGCGATTGTAATACAGAATATGGCTGATTATAAAAAAGAAGCTTATCGCCAGTTAAACGACGAACAGTTCTATAGGAAGCTTAAGGTTAATCCTACTTTAGATTTTCAAAAGAAAATTCTTAATGTTACGAACATGGCTTTATCTTTGAACTGGATATCTAAAGATGTATATGATTTCCTTAATTGTGAACATCCTGTGATCCCTATATTCTATATGCTACCTAAGATTCACAAGAGCCTTATAGAGCCAAAAGGTCGACCCATTGTGGCTTCCAATGATTCCCTTTTGGAACCTTTGTCTAATTATGTGGATCATTACATTAAGCCGTATGTTTCTAAACTTCCATCTTACATCAAGGACTCAACTGATGTCATTAATAAAATCGCAGAAATTAACAACCTACCTGGTGATATCTTTCTGGTCACTTTAGATGTAGAAAGCCTCTATACTAATATACCCCATGAACGAGGATTAGATGCCTTAGGATTTTATCTCCAAGATCGCACTGATCTCCCCCCCAGTAATTTTATCTGTGAATTGGCCTCGCTAGTCCTTAAGCTAAACTATTTTTCCTTATTAGGGGATTTTTATTTACAGCTAAAAGGCACATCCATGGGCTCTACCTTCGCTCCAGACTTTGCCAATTTATATATGGGTATGTTTGAGTGTAATTTTGTCTTTAATCCGGACAGGAACCCCTTTTGTCAAAAAATTCTGAAGTGGTACAGATATCTTGATGATATATTTTGTCTTTTTCAGGGGAAAAGGGAAGAACTCATAGATTTTGTGTCTTTTTTGAATGATGTGTATGCTGATTTAAAATTCTCAATTGAATATGATCTACAACGTGTATCTTTCCTTGACATGTGGATAGAGTTAAAAGATGGAGGCCTCATTACCACACTTTACAGGAAACCCACTGATCGTAACACCCTTCTTTTGGCAAGTAGTGCCCATCCTAAAGCCTTGAAAAATGGCCTACCTAAGAGTCAGTTTTATAGACTGAGGCGCATATGCCATTCTGATGAAGATTACATAGAAAAGTCTTTGGAAATGAAACAAAGGTTTCTAGAAAGGGGTTATTCTGCTCAGTGTGTTGATAACGCCCATCAGGCTGCCCTGTCGAAACCAAGGCAGATTTTATTGACTAAGAGTATCCAGAAAGAAAATAATTTTTCAGTAACCTGTATTACAACCTTTACCCCTCGGGCTCACATGTTTAAGAGTACCATCCTCAAATATTGGCACATTTTGACCTCAGACCCAGCTCTCACTCAACATTTCAAAGATCCACCCCTTTTCGTTTTTAAAAGAGGGCCAAACCTACGAAATAAATTGGTTAGAGCCAATATATTACCAAGTCCTAGACAGACACTTTTGGGTCCCCTCAAACATGGAAATTACCCTTGTGGCAACTGTGCTCAGTGCCACAACACGTGGAAGACAAACACTTTCACACATCCTAGAACAGGGAACTCTTTTCCAGTAAGAGGGGTTATCACATGTAACACTAAAAATGTTATATATATTCTTAAATGCACATGTGATATGATCTATATTGGTAAAACTATTCGTCCTCTGAAGCAAAGAATCAGCGAACACAAAAGTTCAATAAGACGAAATGATATGAATTATCCTGTTGCCCGCCACTTTAATAACCACTCACATCCTCTGTCCTCCCTTAGGTTTCAGGGAATAGAACAGGTTACTTCTCAGAGAGGGGGTGATGTAGACAGGCGACTATGTCAGAGAGAGCTGTATTGGATCTACATGTTAGAAGCTCTACAACCACTGGGCCTTAATGAGGATTTTGATATGAGTGTGTTTCTTTAATCTCATTATTATAGACTATTCCATGCTTTATGATGGCCATAGCCTGATATTTGCATGGAATAGGTTTATGTAGTGTAATGATTTTCTTGGTATATTTTTTATTATTTGAAATCTTGATGTAATTTATGTGTTTTGTTTTCAGTAGACCCTGTGCCTAAGGCTATATTTGATATAGGCTATGTTGAACTACATTTCCCATGTTCCCTATCCCTGTAGCCTTAGCCATGTAAACACAGGTGTCTGGCATCATGCAATCAGGAGAGGTGATTGACAAGGGCCTTTTTGTATGGCCTCATTCACTTTGTTTGTATGCCTGAAGAAGGTCGCAAGACCGAAAGCTTGCTATTAAATTGATTTTGCACAGTGTTTTGAGTGTGCGGCTGCTGTATTTTTACTATTCCTGATGATTTAATGTAGCAGCACCTCTCTACAAGACATTTGTGACGGATGAGCGGTGGTTCTTTTCTATTTTTTCAAGAATGCAGGTCTTAAAAGAAGCACCACTTTTTTAGTATGAAGAACATTTTATTAATCTAAAGAAAAAGACTCCAGAAATGTAAAGGGTTCTTCATGGAGCCATCAATGCCAACTTTGATTTTATAAGTTTATACATCTGACACCCCCCAGAACACAAATTAATTGCGTTGCCTTCCAGGGCATAAGTGAATATTTGCAGCGTTTGTAATAGTTGTGTATAAGGGCCTCAATTGTCCTCAGTGCAAAAAGATGGATCTCAAAGTCATAGTCATTGCTGGAAAGAATGGCTGTCACGATTCCTTGATTAAATTTGAGTGCTCAATTTACAAAAAAATCCTTGATTACAATTTACCAATGTCGATTAACTGGCAAAATACGGGAAGTGATGCATTCTATGGACGCAAATCCATGAACTGCATTATTAGACCGCTTTCTAAGGCTGCACGATATATTTAAACCATTTAAAAATCATAATATAGCATAGTGCTATTGTGTAAGACACAAAAGCTGTGAATCAAAATCTTTAGTTTGAGGCAGCCCAACTTTCAGTGGAAGGACAGAAATCTCTCAGATTTCATTAAAAATATCTTCATTTGTGTCTTCATGTTTGGAACGACATAAGGGTGAGTAAATGATGACAGAATTTTCATTTTTGGCTGAACTAACCATTTAAGTCATTTTAAAGGCTATTGTTCACTTAAGTATATTTGTATTACCACAAAACATATTCGATTACTCAATCATCAAAATAACGGACCGATTACCAAAATAATCATTAGTGACAGCCCTACTGTAAAGGGTCCAAAAAAAGGGACCTGGAGGATTTTCTTTAAGAAAAGTAGGCAGTTGAACTGCAGGACAAAAAAGAAACTCATGAACAACTGTCACAAAACATAGAAAACAGCGTCAGAACAGGACTGAGGACGTTATAATAGACTGTAAAGTAGATCACACAAATGTACCTTATTGTCATTGCTCTCAAGCCGATTACTGGCACATTGTTCACCTGCAAAACAAGAATTTCAGAAATATTTTGAACATATGTAATGTTTACATAATTATATAAATTTTTATAAAATTTCATTTATAAAAAAAAATTCATTTATATGTTTATTTTCATTTTATTTTATTTTATTGAAGCCCTTGAATTCACTCAGATTTCAGTAATGATCAATCATATTTAAAGCGAGAGTTCACCCCAAAATGAAAGTTCAACTTACTCACCATGGTAAGCAATGTGACCTTTCATTCTTTTTAAAAATGGAAAGGAAAGTTTGCGAGATAACAGTAAGGTGACCTTCTTCAAACAAAAGCATAAATCCAGAAAAAAACACTGTAATGCTAACTGCTTCTCTTTTATCTTTCACCTTTTTCTGAATAATGTTATTTGCATGATTTGTATTATCTTAGAACTGTACATTTCTGACATATGGACATTACTTTGACTGTCACCTCTGATAACAGATTACTCTAAATTGTAATATAGACACATGGATTTTCTGTAAAGCTGCTTTGAAACTATATGCATCGAGTACCACTTGTTGTGAAAAGCTCTCTACAAATAAATGTGAATAGATTGAATTGAATGAGTCTACGGAGGTAAAATATGGGTGACATTAGCAGTTTTAGTGAATTTCTCTGCCCATATCCCCACTCAATCAAGTCTCCCTTCTGTCATTTCTTCTTTTTTACCTCCAATCCCCATATAGCATAATTTACTGTGTGAATGTTTCTTAAACAGAAAAAACACAACATACCATTTTTTTATTATTATTTGTCAAAATGTTGGGAAGCATTTTGAAATATCAGTAAATGATGAAACATGCAATACCACTACAGTAATATTTACATCGATTACACCTGCCTTTAATACACAATTTGACGACTTTTTCATGTTTTCTTCTGTTTTTGATGAGTGCGAAGAATATTGACACCTCATTTACTCTCATTTGACTTTGTGAGTACCCAAATTATGTGCATGCTTATTACTGCTTATATAAAGAAACGGGTCATTCGCAATTGGTGATGGTTTAGAGTTTTATGAAATATTTTGGTATAATCTGAGCTTGTTTTTCTATATGTAAAATGTCTTTGTATGTTATTTTATTGTTTTGATTGGTGTTGTTTTTACAAGTTTTGAACAGCACAATGGTCAGCGGCAGTTGTTTAATTGTGCTATAAATAAATAAACTAAAAGTAAAATATGATTTACATAAAGCATCACGGAACACCCACACAAAAAAAAAAAAAAACCTGATATAGCATAAATAGTTTTAGTATGCTCTTCTGAATTCAGTATTATTGCCCATACAGTGAAAGTTAATGGGGTGCAGCATTGTTTTTGACCCTTCTAACTTTTAATGGATGGACAAAAACACCCAAAAGCATTCCTGTTCCGCAAAAGAAACAAAGTCATGACTTACAGGTTTAAAATTACATCACATTGAATAAATAATCATTTTATTTTGAGGTGAACTCACTTTTAGGCACTGTCTTTTGTTTGCTTATTTATTGTTACCTGTTGGAAATTTTAACAGAGTTGATAATTTCCTTTTTTTTTTTTTTTGAGGACATTTCAGTTTAACCATAGTTCCCACCAAAATACAATACAACATTCATTAATAACCACAATTACATATTCATAACTATCAAAAATGAATAAACCACTTTTGAAAAGTTTTTGTTTGTCAGGATGACACTTACAGTGGTTTAGGCACATGCTGTCTGCGAAACTCTCTCTATACGCTTCTGTAATTTCAACCAGCAGGACATCAAGAAATGAGCCGAACAAAGATTTCACCCGCTCTTGAAAAACACTCAACGCTCTGACATCTGTCATGTCTACCAACAGGTTTAAAACACTATAAAACCTTGATCAAGTGTGCATACACTTAGGCACTAAACGAAAAAAGCCGCGAGTTTGGGCCAAGCGTTTGAAACTGCGTTCTTCGTCACGATGTTGGCGTGTGAATCGTGACGCACCTTCCTGTAGTGTGAGCGATTTCTCAAAACGGTTCATTCTTCTTTAATGGCGGTTGGCATACATCTTATTTGTGCATTACCGCCACCATCTGTTCCGGAGTATGGATCAACCATAGACAGTAAAAGAAAGGGATCAATCAGTAAGTATCAAATTATACGATGAACTGAGGATAGAGACGGGCGGGGGGAAAAAGAATACCCTATAATAAAGCCCAGTTTCCCTTAAAAAAACTTATACTTATGCTTCCAAACCAAACTTATACGAATCTTTTCGAGTTTCAAGTCTTCTTCTTCTTAGGTTTTTATTGGCGGTTGGCAAACCAGCTAAGTTAGATGCTTTACAGCCACCTACTGGACAGGAGTGTGGATAAGAAGATTTGGCAGAATGAGGGGGAGGGGAAAATAATAATACATTAATAAAAAAAAAAACATTAACCTTTTATCCTCGCTCGATCGTCAGGCCTGTTTCTTTAAAAAATGTAAGTAACTGTGTAGGCCTCGGCCTATGTATTTTTCTCATTGCTGCTCCATGGATGTTTTTTAAAGTGAAGTTTAGTTTCAATTTTTTCAAGTAGGCTACTTCTTTTAAATCCGTTCTTTCCATTTGTCGAGCTCTGAAACGAGTGATAACCATTTCTTCACTTTTACCCATCTCTCTTTTCACACCAACAATTAATATTATATAAAATTATATATTATCTCTTTTCAACCAATATTATATCCCAAAATATCCCATTAATATCCCAATTCCTGACATTTTTTTTTTGTTTGATCTTTTATGATTACTTTAGCCTCAGACGTTTTAATTAGACATTAATAGAATTAAAAATTAAAAATAGACTATCCGTGGAACAAACAAAATAAGCCCTGGAAATTGATAAAATAACACGTATTATACAGGTTGATACTTGATATTTAATCCTGTTAGATGATTAGTTAATTGCATTGGATAGATTTTACTTTCAATAAAACTTTTGACATGTTATGCATGTTTGGCCTGAGTTTGTTTTGTTTTTTTGCATTTACACAGTTCTGACCAGGAGGGGTCACCAGCTTGTTGCGTTTCGAACGCAGCTTCGTTTCTCCCGTCACTAATACGGTCGGTCACGTGGTACAAAACAAGTCTCTTTATTGGTTTACGTAATTAGTCAGCACTGGATTGCCAGAACGCAACAGGCGTTGTAGTTTATATTTATATAAACACATACACAGTTATATTGTTTTAAAATTCTGTGTTTAAATAGTCTGTATTTAGTTTTTAGCAATGTCGTAACTGAGAGTTGTTTAAAATCCTGTTTGCGGAAATGCAAGAGACTGGGGGGGCAGGGAAATAAACGCGACAGCTCTTCCTAACAAAAAGAGAAAAAATCACGAATTATCCACAGTTCCAGAACACCGGTGGCTTTACACAACAACCAATTTAGGTACGTATAGTTTACGCGGTTATAGAAGATTCACAAATGTTTGTACAAGTGTATCAGTAGTTTTTACATTAACGTTAGTAGGTTAAGTATAAGTAACTCACGCAACAAGTGGATCTAAAGACAGTCTGTACAGATTATTTTAGTTACACCTCAAAAAACCCAAGGGTCAATAAGATAATTAAACCAATTAAGAGTAATAAACAGAGCTTTGCTTTCAGTCAGTGCTAGTTCCCTATGATCGGGTCCGTTTTGTTTGTTTGTTTATTTTAATAATTTGCTATTCGTGTTTGTTTAGGTTTGTTATACCAACGCATGTTCAGTAAGGGACTAGAACACGGGGGAACCAACAGAATAGTGTGTATTGTGACTGACTGAATGAATGCAAAGCGTTGTGATGTGATCTTCATTGTGCACGTCAGGTTTTCCAGGTTTGTGTGAGAGCTTTATGTCAGTTGGGTCAGGACAATAATTTACACATGGACAGGACAGTAACACCGAGAAACAGTGTTAAAATATGTATAATTATACAATGTAGAGCCAGAATACCGACGAGCAGGCCAATAAACCTCGTCCAAACAGCTTGTTCTATTAAGATGACATTTTGTCCAGTCACCACCAGACCTGTTCAAACTTACTTTCACTTTTGTTTTTTCTCCAGCGGAAGATAAGGGATATTCTGCTGGAGAGACATTGCTGAGACTATATTCTCATAGGGTACGTTGTGGTTAATTCTTGTATTATTTTAATTTTAAGTTAATTCTGTCCCAATATTACAGGAGAAATTGAACAAAGATGTCAATTTTCATTACTAAAATCAAAAACAGATTGTGTGTGTGTGCCCGCACTCCTTTTTTTTTTTTAATATGATTGAATTGGCTTGGCTTATATATGTCACGCATATTAATGTTTTTGTACTCTCTGATCCATATCGTTTTGTTTATATATTGCACATTTACCACTATAGTCATAGTGTAAATAATAATGTCTGTATAAGAGAAAATGCATCTTTATTATGATTATTATAATTTATTAACACACACACACACACACACATATATATATATATAAGATGCTGATGTGATGGTTTTTGAGTCCATCAGTACTCATCCAAACTATAGGTATTATATAGATAATAGATAATTATTATCATAATTTCAATTAGTCACAGCCTCATCTATTTTTGTGTAGATGAGGCTGTTGAATTCACCTGGTGAAATGTTGTTTAATATTGCAGGAAAAAAAAAAAATCACAATAGCAGACCCAATGGCAATTGTATCGTCTACATGAATTATTGGTGCTTGGACACTGATGATGGCAACTTGCAGCTATATTTTTATTTGCTGTTGTTGTCAGTATTTGCTTTTTGTCTCTCTCTCTTTTTTTTTCTGTAATGTGTTTTTGTAAGGTTTAGTCTAGTCTTATGTAAAACAATTTTGATTGTTTTGCCTGCTGAATGTGTTAATAAGGTCAGTTGAAAGTTATTGTCACAATATATATATAATCACAACACTATAATATCTGTGGTTTATTTTTTTTATTTTTTTATTCAAGTATCACAACTTTATATCGACATGTTTAAGGGGTCCTATTATGCTTTTTCAGTTTTTCAACTTTAGTTAGTCTGTAATGTTGCTGTTTGAGAATAAAAGAGTTCAGCAAGTTTACAACGCTCAAAGTCCACTCCAAAGGGAGATATTTATTGAACAGAATCCACTTTTCAAGAACTACAACAAACGGCTCGTTTGGACTACAACGCAATTTTTTTGGATCTTATGAAGTCTTATATCTTATAATGTTCCTCATTTAAATAATCCGCGCCCATAGAATACGCCAAAAAAGGTGTCAATTACCTTCAATTGGATTACCTTCGTTTTCCAAAAAATATCACGATTAAATGGAGTATAACATTGTATCTTAAGTATCTAAGAAAATTACAAAAACAAAACATACTGTGGTTGCATAGTCCGTGAATGAAATCCGTTCTGCACGATCATCTTGTTTGTTAGCATTATTATTATTATTAAGTCTAAATCAGGCTTGCATTGGTTTGAAATTGCCACTATTTACATCTGAGTGAGTGGAGCTCACTGTTATAAAGGGGTGGGACATTTCCCGAACACGCGCTAAGCGGTGTCAATCAAAGCACACTGGGTCAATCATAGCACACTGGGCCAGCTAACTAAACACAGCACATTTTGTATTTCGAAAGGAGGAGCTTCAGCGTGTTCACCCAGACTGGGGAGAAAGGAGCTGTTATACTGTAAAAATATGTGAAAAAGAATGCGTTGTTTTGAACAATCAAGCATGAAAACATATTCGAGTACACCCCAAAAACAAAATCAAGGGCATATTAGGACCCCTTTAAATGTGGATTTGTTAATGATTTATTTTCATAACTGCTATTTCTTTGGTTATTGCTATGCTTTCATAGCCTCTTGCATTGGCAAGAAGACAATCATATTCATATGAAGAGTTTAAAAACACAACACAATGTGGATTTAGAATAACATGATGTCATTTTTGGACTACTCCTTTATAAACCTATGTATCAACAATCCAAATTTGGCAAAGATAGGTAGCAAAGTGTAATGTTAAAAGTTAACTTTAGACGTATGCTATATTTTACAGTCCAACTCCCCAGAGTCCTTCTCACAGATCTAGTTATGGCGACATCTGCTGGAGAGAGCAGCATTTTAGAGGAAGAGTTGACGTGTCCAGTGTGTCTGGACCTATACCGCGATCCCCACCTGCTGCCCTGCGGTCATAACTTCTGTCTGCCGTGCCTGCGGAGGCTCAAGAACCGCTCAGATCACGGCCGCTTGCGATGTCCGGAGTGCCGACAGAGTCACCGCAGCTCTGCCAACTGGCAGAAGAACTTCAAACTGGCCAACATTGCTGATAGTTTCCGCCGTCGTAGCCAATCAGTTCGCTCCACTCAGAGCCGGTGTGACCCATTTCACGGACCTGCTGAGGTACACTGTGATTACTGTCCAGTGGATGGCAGTGGAGATGGGAAAGGTCCCATGGCAGTTAAAACCTGCCTGAAGTGTGAAGTGTCCATGTGCCCAAAGCATGTTCAGCCTCATTTGGAGCTCCCGGCTTTCCGAGAGCACCCGCTGGTGGAGCCGCTCAATGACATGAGGAAGAGGAAGTGTTTGGAACATGATGAGATGTTCCGGTACTACTGCATGGATGAGCGCTTGTTCCTCTGTAATGCCTGCACCATAGAGGGAACGCACAATGGACACTGCATCAAAACGCTGAAGAACACCATGAAAGATTTCAAGGTAGGTCTGACGTGTCAAGGCCCATTCACTCTTCTTACATTAGTTAGCACAGAAGATGATATTTGGTTTGAGTATTCCAAAGATGGGCAAGTATGGTTTACACTTGGTATTAAAAGGGGTCTAAAATGTTTTGAGCTATTCCACTTTCAACCTCTTCCAGTTGTCAAAAACGCATTCTGTCAGAGTTCTTTCGTAGTGTAGGCACTCCTGTGGTCGAATGCTTTTGAACAGACACACAAGGTCCCAATGACCTAGCACGTGTGCACTATATGGGACGTGTTTTTAGAGAGCGCACCAAAACAATATGTTCCATCTCCACTATGTTGGGCCAAAATTCGCTGTTACCATTAGTATCCTTTACATTATTGGTATCCTTTCCATTCATCTCCTTTCACCCTTGCTCGTTAGCAGTGTAATGGCTTCATTAATTCAGTCGTATGGTCACAGGAGACACATTTAAAATGCATGTTAAAGGGGTCATATAATGCCATTTTTGTACAAGCTAGTATGATTCTTTAGGGTCTAAATGAAAAGTTTGTAATATACTTTAATTAAAAATTCTCATTAGTATTGTAAGAAAACACTTATTTTACTTGGTCAAAAACAGCTCTGTTTTCAGCATGCCGTTTCAGTGCATATGACTTTAAAGGGGTCATATAATGGTACATGCACTTTTACAAGTTGATTGTACTGAAATGTGTGTTGGCAGTGTCTGTACACAACCATCATATAATGATAAAAATCCATCCAGTGGTTTTGTTTTAATCTCCTTATATGTTTTCCCCTGCCTCAAATTGAGCCGTTCGATTTTGTGACGTCACACGCTCGGAAGCCCCTCCCACGATTGTTGATTGACAGCATCGTTTCAACACAGACCCGCCCTCGCTCATGAGCGACCTGTCAATCATAGTCTGCGCGGACCGGCGCGGTCATTGTTGATATGCTGGAGCACTGTCTATGAGCAGAATGGCGTCTAAGCGATTGTGGTGTTCTGTTCTTGGGTGTAATAACGAACACAGCAGTCATTTTAATGTTCCTAAATCCGAACAGCTGAAGACGCAGTGGCTGAGTTTGTTTTCGAAGGGAATATTCCCCACGAGCAACGTCAATGCTTTCATGTTGGCGTGAATCATTTCACACACCAGACTGCTTTATAAACGAGGGTCAGTATAAAGCTGGATTTGCTAAGAAGCTGCTCATAAAAAATGGATCGGTACCAGATATTCGTGTTCCTGCTGAATCTCCAGAAGAACGGAAGTGAGTGTAACGTTTTATTAAACTTTATATTAATATATTAATCTTTGCAAATCGCTAGCTGCACGCTTCACAATGAATGCGTCTAAGGTTTACACTTAGGGTACATTACGGCATGTTTTCTATGTATGACGTTCTCAATATAATTCATAATCCCACGTTTATACTGAACAACGCGTTATGGTTATTGTGTTATCGAGTTACAAATGGTGTACGCACAGAACAGAGAGGCGGGGAGAGCAAAGCTCATGATCATTTAAAGTCATATACACTGAAACGGCGTGCTGAAAACAGAGCTGTTTTTGACCAGGTAAAATAAGTGTTTTCTTACAATACTAATGAGAATGTTTAATTAAAGTATATTACAAACTTTTAATTTAGACCCTAAAGAATCATATTAGCTTGTACAAAAATGGCATTATATGACCCCTTTAAATGATAATGAGCTTTGCTCACCCCGCCTCTCTGTTCTGTGCGTACACCGTTTGTAACACAATAACACAATAACCATAACGCGTTGTTCAGTATAAACGTGGGATTATGAATTATATTGAGAACATCATACATAGAAAACATGCCGTAATGTACCCTGAGTGTAAACCTTAGACGCATTCATTGTGAAGCCTGCAGCTAGCGATTTGCAAAGATTAATTTAAATATTAATATAAAGTTTAATAAAACGTTACACTCACTTCAGTTGTTCTAGAGGTTCAGCAGGAACACGAATAGCTGGTACCGATCCTTTTTTCATGAGCAGCTTCTTAGCAAATCCAGCTTTATACTGACCCTCGTTTATAAAGCAGTCTGGTGAGAAATGATTCGCGCAAACATGAAAGCTTTGACGTTGCTCGTGGGGAATATTCCCTTCGAAAACAAACTCAGCCACTGCGTCTTCAGCGGTTCGGATTGAGGAACATTAAAATGACTGCTGTGTTCGTTATTACACCCAAGAACAGAACACCACAATCGCTTAGACGCCATTCTGCTCATAGACAGTGCTCCAGCATATCAACAATGACCGCGCCGGTCCGCGCAGACTATGATTGACAGGTCGCTCATGAGCGAGGGCGGGTCTGTGTTGAAACGATGCTGTCAATCAACAATCGTGGGAGGGGCTTCTGAGCGTGTGACGTCACAAAATCGAACGGCTCAATTTGAGGCAGGGGAAAACATATAAGGGGATTAAAACAAAAACACTGGATGGATTTTTATCATTTTATGATGGTTGTGTACAGGCACTGCCAACACACATTTCAGTACAATCAACTTGTAAAAGTGCATGTACCATTATATGACCCCTTTAAGACCAGGTCTAACCATTAATGTGGCTTGGGTGACCATGCTATCGGAATTACTATAAAAACTAGTTTTCTAGTTGGAAATTGTGATGTTCTATTCGCAGCTGTTCACGTCTTCGGACTGGGAATTATACTTTTATATGGCGACACAACGTCTAAATGAATGTGCAGTAGTCAGGTGGTATAGTGGTCACATGGTACAAATTAAAGCTCTCAGAAAACTCCCATCTTACAAGCTGTAATTACGAGCTCTACGAGAACATTGATGCTTTTTATAAGTTGAAATCTGGATACAAGTTGAAAACTTGGAACGCACCTTAGCATGCATGACAGAAATTCCAGAATCGAATATCTATATAGTGCGGTGAATCAATGTGTATATGATTGTCAATGAATGGAACACTATATTTTATTCAAAATTAAATATCTTCAATGTTTTAGCTTTAATAAGATTTCCCAGAGAAACAGGCAAGAATAACCTAGTGTCCTCCATGATTCCCATTCTTTCCGACAACAGAGCATTTGATCGCGACAAGCTTGTAGCCATGACTTTAGAAGTGTGAAGTAGGACATTTCCGATAGCATGTGAAGGCAGCATTAATACCAGGTGTAAACGGGGCCAAACACACCTGCCTTTAATTTTCAAGTGAAGACTGTTTAATTTTCCCTGAAGATTGTTAAGCCACAATCACACTAGACTAGCACACAACATTTCTACAGACACTGCAATGTAATGAGGTCAACCTCTGCTATGTCTCTCTAAAAACATATTTCAATACAGTGAGCTCCACGAATATTTGCACCCTTATGAGCAAAACTGACTTTGAAAATGTTTTTGCAATTTCCCGTCTCTGTCTTTTATTCAAAATATTCACAAAAATCGAACCTTTGAAGTCAAATAGTTGAAAGGGAAAAAAAAATCATAAATTAAATAAAATTCTGATATATATGTATTCCGCAATAATAGACACCCCTTTGTTTAATACTTTGTGCAACCTCCCGTTGCCAAGATAACCGCTCTGGCTCCTCTCTTATAATGTGAAATAAGGTTGATGAACATATGGCAAGAGATCTGAGACCATTTCTCCATACAGAATTTCTCCAGATCATTTAGATTCAGAGGTCCATGCTTGTAGACTCTTTTCTTCATCCTGAAGAATAATCTGTGTAAATTAAATAATTAAGGTCACGCCGTGGCATATCAATCTTCAATTGGTCACACGTGTTCACATGATGCGAATTTATAGGGCAGAGTTCACCAAACTTGAAATTAGCGTTGAACTTGTGTTCCTTGTTACTTGAAAACAACAGCCAAGTGTGTTGGAACAGGGTTGGAAGTCTGCAAGAAGGTAGTCTTCGAGGAGCAGGGTTGGCTACCAATGTAGTGTTTGAAATGCAGTACAAAAAAAATGAGTGAAGGAAGGTTGTACAATATTTGGCAGTACGCAATTTCAGATGCTACGATACAAAATGTCCAGTGTTGACGGACCTTCAGGAACAAGATTGAAAACCACTATTTTATCACAACTGAAACACTATCCGGTATCCGCTTGTTTCAATAATGAATGTTCACTTGTTGAACAGAATCATTCACATGCTAGTAAATTATCTATTGTTCTCTTTTTTTGCTCACTGTTCTCTAGATTTATCTTGACATTCAGCTGCACAAGACGAACAGGAAGATCCTAAAGGCAGAGAAAAATCGACTTGAACAAAAAGAGATTGAACGGATTAACAAGGTGAAGTTAGTCATGTCATTAGTTAATTGCAATTCATAGTTTAATCACAAGGCCTTTGCTTCACATCTCATATCATTTTGTTTTTAGTCTTAAAGAATTTATCAATGAATATTTATTCTCTTGTTTGTGGCTTTTGCTAAACATTACTGTTTTTGCTAAGTTACATTTTTGCAAGGGCAAGCACCCCTTACATTTAAAAAAAAAAAAAAAAAAGTAAAAATCTTGTTTGAAATATTTGTTCTGTTCTAGGTCTACCGGGATGACACAGACCAGCACCTAGATGCTTTCCGAGAGACTTCAATCGCACATCTGGATGCTTTTCTATCATCGCTGCGTGAATGTGTCAGCACCTATGATGGCGAGCATTGTTCTGGAATCCAGCAGAACCTGAGTCGAATAGCTCAAGATCAGACTCGTCTACAAGAGGTTTACTCAGGCTTTGAGAGGCTTCTACAGGAGAATGACTCTTTCCAATTCATTAAGGTACATTTTACATATAAACGCATACACTGAATTAAAGTTCTTGAAAATCATCTGTGACTGTTTCTGACAGAATTTTAGGCTGTTTCATTGTCTGGCTAAGGGTACGACAACAACAACAATGTACTAAAAATGGTAAAGTTTTTCATTTGTGTTTTACTCATACAGACGACAATGCTGTCAAAAAGTGTCCCCATTCACACGGATTTGCAAAAACAATTAAAAACTGTGTTATGCATGCCAGGCCAGTAGTTGGCAAGGTCACACTTCACTGGTTTCACAAATTTATGTTTTATAGACAATAATGCTATCATTTTCAAAAACATGCACTTTGAAACCCATTTTCAAAAGTTTGCGTTTTCATGCCCCCAAAACATTTTTGTCGTGTAAATAAATGGCTAGAAAGCATAAAATGTTTTCCGTTTTTAGTTGAAAATGGTGTTGTGTAAGCGGCCCCTTAAAGAAAGATGAATCCAGTAATTTTACAAGTTGATGAGCAGCCTAAAGTCTGGTCACTTTGAAGCTTATTTTGGCCAAGAACTGGCCAATAGACAGGAAGAGACCACCTGAATGACATGTGATGTGTAAATAAAAAAATATGCAAATGGATCTACAGAAAGTACTGAAATAATTTTGCTCTGTCACAAAGACTACACAAAGTGGCTAAATTCTTCAAATCCCAAATAGTTGATGCCACAAACTATGCAACATGACATCATGACTTTGCGTAAACATACACGCCACTTTCAATTCAAGTGGCGTGTTATCTATACGCATTTTGAGCTATCCGCGTGTATGTCCACGCCGAAATCTTTTGCGTGTATGTCTACGCCATTAAATGTCCGAGTGATTCCGCGTGTATGTGTACGCCGTTAAATGTCCGAGCGAAACGAAGCAAAATCTATATCTACATCTGTGGAGCGATATTTCTTTTCCTAGGATGGTAGGAGAAGACTCATAAATGGTATTAACCCCAGTGACGGGTAGGTTTAGGGACGGGGTTGGGGTAGGTCATATATTTATATATACATAATACAGTAATATAACGTTAAGTCAAAGGCGTTGATAAACACGCTGAAAAGCGATTATGCGTGTTGATAGCACGCCAAAAATGGAAATACGAATTGGCGTGTCATACATACGCCATTTCATGAGATCAGTCTGAACTATGGCAAACCTAGTAATTGTTTTTTCCTCAAAAGCACACCTTGTAGAAACCTACACACTGGCTCTAATTGTATTGATCAATATCCAGGGGTCTATAAAGCTCCTGCTGGGGGTCTGGGGATAGATATAGTATTCTCTTTAAAAGCATAATCTGTATGCTCTCTATATGTTTCGAAATGTGTTTCCAAATATGGTACATTATTTGTATCATCTACACCAGAGTCCTGCATGGGTCCTGTTTGGTAAACCTTCACTCACAATATTTAACAGAACAACTGACCCGTTATCCGGCAGCAGCACTAATTTAATTCCGCACCCGACCCATTTGACATAAAGACCGCAACCTGATCCACAAATCACTTCTACAGTCTTGTGAAAACTGTTATAGCCTAACCTGGCTACACTTCACCATGAATCTCTTATTTGCAATGTGCCTACAATTGTTGGTTATGAGACATTTTGCAAGGGTGCAGTCAATGAACAATCGCTGAACCATTGGATTAAACACCTCTGATTGGCCATTGCATTAATGCGCTCAAAAGTCTGTGATTGGCTACAATGCTCAACTTAAAGCATAAATACAAATATGCGTTTGAAAGCAGTATCAAAAATATCATTGGTTATTTGACTGGCAATGCCTATTAATTCCCGAAGTGCAACTACACTGCAAATGACGAGGTAGGCCTAAACATTTTCCACCCAAAATTTGCAGCCCAAGTAAGTGCAGGACTGCACTGTAGAATGTAAAAAATACTCTTTTCAAGTTCTTTATTAAACCGAGTGTCCCTTGTTTGGCAGTTTGAACAAAACTTACATTTGATCTTCATTTTGTGGTTTCTCTTTGGATTTCTTTCAGGATTACAATTCATCTATGAAAAGGTAAGACAAACTTTTGATTTAAGGTGCTTTCAAACATTTGCAGTGAGGGGGATTCTTTTTGTCCACATGGTAATGTATTTTTTTTAAACTGTGTCAGGTACCAGAGACAGTTAAAAAAACCTCTGTTTTTCCCTGATGAGCCAACAGTCGACACTGAGCCACTGTATGAAACTATGGAAGGAAAGATGGAGGAGTTCATTGCTGAATTGCGTCAGCATGGCAGCACATTCATCAGCACACTTTGTGAGTCTCAAGTGGTTTGTGTTAAATACAGGGGTAAACAGGGCCTAGAACTTATATCCAATCACTTATAGATGGTATGAAATGAAAATTCTAAATGCGTGTTATAGGCCTTTTTGCGAACTACTCTTACATGCATTCGTTTCATTTTCCTAAATTAAACAAATTTAGAAAATTCCCACCTGCTATCAGGGTTTAGTCTACAAGCATGCACGTTTAAATGCGTATGTGCGCAGGTGTCCGTGTGAAAAAGATCTGTTCCTACTTCCATTGCATGACGAATTTAAACTCCACAATAGGATATATAATATTTTGTGATTGGATCACTGAAACCATGTGGAAGGTTTTGACTACCTTCATATCGCTATCAATCCTAAATGTGTCCCGGACCGCAGTAATGTGCCATTTCGCTGAACGTTATGGAGCGTATTATGAGGAGGTGCACCAAACAAAAGGGATTCAAACTTCTCTGCGTTACCTGAATGTTCGAAATTGCAGTTGGCATCTGTATTCTTTTTATTTAGCGCATTTAACATTCTCTTGTGAGTCACGTAACATGACTCCGTTCACTCGTTCATATTTGTGTGGTTTCAGGTGAGGACGCAAATAAATAAAATAAAATAATAATAAGAAACTTATTTTTATTTCAGCCAGTTGCCGAGGCAACATTTCTCATTTTAACTTGTACTAAAACTGAAATAAAACAAACTATATTGGCATATTTAAAATAAAAATAAAAACTACTAAAAATGACAAAAAAAATTACTAAAAATAAAATGAAAACAAAATATAAAAAAAAATAGTTGTAAAATCATATGAAAATGAAAAATCATAATAGTATCTATACTAGTATCTATAATAGTTATACTAAAATAAATAACACTGTTGGCCTAATGAGGTACAGAAAGTAAACTTGACTAAAGAATATTCTGTACAACAAGATTGCCTTTTTTTTTTTTTTTTTTCAGTGAAAACACCCAGTCATGAGCCTTATGAACATATTGTTCTTGTATTTTTGTTTATTTTTTGAAGGTGAATTTGAAGGGGGAGATGGTGAGGAGGAGGTGGATGATGATGATGAAGATGAAGAAAGTTTTGATGATGATGAAAATGAAAGTGATGCAGAAGGTGAGGAGATGAGGAGTGAGGAGGAGGAGGAGCAGATCCTCGTCACTGAGTCTGAAGATGAAGAATATACCCCAGAGGAGGAAGAAGATGATGAAGATGACTAGAAGAACAGCTGGATGAAGATAATCTGCATTTAAATTCCAATAATTTGTGTAGCAAATGAGCCACCGTTTCACTTGAAATTGATGCAGTGAACTGGCATTTGAAGAGTGTGTGGACACATGTATTGAGAGTCAGTATTCATTCCTGTAATAAGATGTTTTGCTGAAATTTTTCTGTTATTTAAATTGAATATAAGATTTTTCATGAGATTACAAAAAAATATAATTGACAGGAAGTGACATGGTGTTTATATATTTATGAGAATGGGTTGTGTGTTGAACCTGACATTGTCTGTGGATGAAATCTATTTTCTGTTATGTTGATATTATCTTGGATATCTAGATTCCAGTTTCAAAGTGCAGGGTAACGCATGTTAACATGGATGTTAATTTTGGATGGGTTTAATTTTGCACTTATTTTCCAGTGATGTTGTGAGAAGAGGTGGTGTTGGAAAAAAAGAATGTATAATAAAATATAGTTTCATAATTTAAAAATCAACTGTTTTGTGGCTGAAACGCTGAACATAAATATGTATATGGTTATTTTAGTTTAGTTTTGTATTTACTAAAATGAACTAACATGAGCAATACATTTGTTATAGTATTTATTCATCTTTATTAATATGAGTTAATAAAAATCCAGCTGTTCGTTGATTGGTTAGTTTACAATGCATTAACTAATGTTTACAAATACAACTTTTGATTTTAAAAATGTATTAGTACATATGCTGAAATTAACATCAACTCAGATTCTGTAGAAGTTGTGTTAATTCTTAGTTCATGTTAACTAAAGTAGTTTGTAACCTTAAAATGTTACCAAAATTAGTTTTATAGACAAGTTGTTCCTACCTTTTTTATGGATGAGCTGTAGCAGTAAAAGAAAATCATCATCAAGTGTAGCATGCATGAGACATCTTTTACAGTACAGGGGGCGTATTACAGAAACTTCCTATCTTAAGTCTTAAGTAAAGTTTTGATAAGCTTGATAGAAAAGGCAAATCCTAATCCTTTAATTTCATAATTATTTGTCAGAGTTTTGTCGTCAAAGTGCAGGACATCATTTGGGTGTTCACAAAGTCCACCATCAAATATCGCTGTTCTTCATCTTGTATCATTAATAAATGTGACGTCATTCTCAGACAGGGCTATTATGTGATTTTTACAGTAATAATTCATTTCACAAATAATTTTGAAGTTAGGACAACATTGGGGTTGTCCTAATATGACAATTTTTAGGATTTTTCTGTGGAGTTCCCAAGGTTCAAGGTGTTAACGTTAAAAAGTGTTTTTGTGACTCACTGTCTTCTACAAAACAATCATCCTACATGATGTCAAGAACATTGCGTGGAAATATAACCTTGATATCTTTAATATTGACTGAGTAAGGCTTAGAAAATCACGTTTCGTAAAACAGGTCTATTTATTAAGACGTCCAAAAAACATAAAAAAACGAATGGCGGGTACCATACATCTTGATTGTGGCAACAATTACCAAGTTAATTCACTGGAATGACATCTTTATTAGTAAAATATGTATTAGTAAAATGAAATATCAGTAGAAAAAGTCATTAATATATAAATTAGTAGAAAAACACATTAATATCTGGCTGGACTATTGTGAACATTTGGAGTAAATCTGGGATGACAGAAAAAATGCCCTACCAAGTTAACAGGTCAGTCTCAAAGTTGTGAATCTTCACTTGTTATTCAAAATAAGAACAAAGATGCAAATAACAAACAGTACAAACAATATAATATAAGAAAGAAACAAATAAAATTAACAGTGCTTTACTTTTTTCATTTTACCTCTAAATAGAAGCATTCGTGAAAAAGTTGTTCAGTCAAGAGCAGTGAGTGATTCTCTTTTCTTCTATTGTTTGATTGACATTAATGATACAGACGGCAGCAGGTTCATTAGACTATTAAGACCTAAATTTGCACGACCTAATACACATCAGATGTTTTCCCCCAAACGTTCACTTAAGACATAACCGAATATGTGTGTGTGAATTAGGGGTGGAACGGTACACAAAAGTCACGGTTCGGTTCATACCTCGGTTCAGACATCACGGTTCGGTACGATTTCGGTACAGTGGAGGGAAAAGCAAAACAAAAATGCAGAAGGCATTGTATTTTTTAAATAAGTTTTATTAATAAAGGCATAGAACCAGTTTATTTGTAGTGCACTGACAATAGTTTTATATACAGTTAGGTCCATATATATTTGGACACAGGCACAATTTTTTTTTTTTTTTTGATATTTACCAAAACATATTCAAGCTCTAGTTATATAATGGATATGGGCTGAAAGTGCACACTCTCAGGTTTAATTTGAGAGTATTTAAATCCAAATTGGAGGAAGGGTTTAGGAATTACAGCTCTTGAGAGTAGCCACCCCCCTTTTTCAAGGGACCAAAAGTAATTGGACAATTGAATCAAAAGTGGTTTCTTGGACAGGTGTGGGCTATTCCTTCGTTATTTCTTTATCAATTAAGCAGGTAACAGGTCTGAAGTTGATTCTAAGAGTGGTATTTGCATTTGGAATCTATTGCTGTGAACCTACATCATGCGTTCAAAGGAGCTCTCCATGCAAGTCAAACAGGCCATCATTAGGCTTCAAAAACAAAATAAATCCATCCGAGAGATAGCTGGAATATTAGGAGTGGCCAAATCAACAGTTTGGTACATTCTGAGAAAAAAAGAATGCACTGGTGAGCTCAGCAACATAAAAAGGCCTGGACGTCCACGGAAGACAACAGTGGTAGATGATCGCAGGATCCTCTCCATGATAAAGAAAAACCCATTCACAGCATCCAGCCAAGTGAAGGACACTCTCCAGCAGGTAGGCGTGTCATTGTCAAAGTCTACAATCAAGCGAAGACTTCACGAGAGCAAATACAGAGGGTTCACCACAAGGTGCAAACCATTCATAAGCATCAAGAATAGAAAGGTCAGATTAGACTATGCCAAAAAACATCTAAAAAAGCCTGACCAGTTCTGGAAAAGCATTCTTTGGACGGATGAAACTAAGATCAACCTGTACCAAAATGACGGTAAGAAAAAAGTATGGAGAAGGCTTGGAACAGCTCATGATCCAAAGCATACAATGTCATCTGTAAAACATGGTGGAGGCAGTGTGATGGCATGGGCATGCATGGCTTCCAGTGGAACTGGATCACTGGTGTTTATTGATGATGTGACAGAAGACAGAAGCGGCCGGATGAATTCTGAAGTGTATAGGAATATACTGTCTGCCCAGATTCAGCCAAATGCAGCAAAGTTGATTGGAAGGCGCTTCACGGTACAGATGGACAATGATCCAAAACACACCGCAAAAGCAACCCAGGAGTTTTTTAAGGAAAAGTAGTGGAAAATTTTGCAATGGCCGAGTCAATCACCTGATCTCAACCCGATCGAACATGCATTTCACTTGCTGAAGGCAAAACTAAAGGCAGAAAGACCCACGAACAAACAACAACTGAAGACAGCTGCAGTTAAGGCCTGGCAAAGCATCACAAAGCAGGAAACCCAGTCTTTGGTGATGTCCATGAGTTCCAGACTTAAGGCAGTCATTGCCTGCAAAGGATTCTCAACAAAATATTAAAAATAAACATTTTATTAGTGATTATATTAATTTGTCCAATTACATTTGAGCCCCTGAAAATGGGGGGACTGTGTATAAAAATGGTTGCAGTTTCTAAAATGTTTACTTGATATTTTTGTTCAACCTCTTGAATTAAAGCTGAAAGTCTGCACTTCAAATTCATCCTGATTGTTTCATTTTAATTTTATTCTGGTGGCATACAGAGCCAAAAGTGTGAAAATTGTGCCTGTGTCCAAATATATATGGACCTAACTGTAATTATGTTATTAATTAAATTAATAAAAAGACAAAAAGACCTTGCGATATGTTTGGTAATTGTACCTGAATTAATTTAAAATTAATTTGCTATATTTCAGATCAATTTTAATCTTAATTTTAATTAACATTATTAATTAACAATGTAAGATTATTCTCATCTGAATTATAAATAATTGATTTCTGTATAAAATAATACTAGGCCTACCATTAAAAACACATTCGATTTTCTTTTTTAAGCAATGTAGAATGTGTAAGATTAGTGCTCCGAGGACAAGAAATGAAAACCAATGCAATATGATGAATGTCCAAAAGATGGGACCCACAGACTGTTTTGAAATGGAGTTGGATAAATATGTTTTGCTTTTAAAACAGTGTGTGTGATTTTGGTTGGGTGACAGTTGTAGGTTACAGTTTGACAAGAGTTTACAGTGTGACAAAAGCACAATGTTGTGTTTTATTGCGAGTGTACACAAATATAAGTAAACACTTTGCAGGTTTAATGATCTGTATGAACAAAATGGACGGAGTATGTTTTTTATGTTTCCACTGTTCGATCGCGCCCGCGCCTCTCTCGCTCTCTCTCTCTCTCTCTCTCTCACACACACACACACACACACAGTTCGATCGCGCCCGCGCATCTCTCTCTCTCTCTCTCTCTCTCTCTCTCTCTCTCTCTCTCGCACACACACACACACACTCCAGCATTGCAATCTTGACATCGCAGCCTGTTCATTATGCGGTCACACCAAACGCGAATAGAGCGTCAAATTCGCGTCTATTCGGCGCTAGTCCAAAGCAAATAGGACGCGCGTATAAAGCCAACGTTTGAAGTGAACGCGCGTTCAGAGCTATCTAACAGTAGTTCCGCATTACATTAATTCATTTGCACGCGAGTTTTATTTATTTTTACACCGTTTATTCTCCGTGTAAATTCGTGCACCGGAATTCGTGTAAATTTCAGGTGTGTGTCAATCAGCGTGTAACGCATTGAGATATTTTTTGTGGCTTATTTTGTGCTTAATAACTCTTTTAAAATCAGGCACATTCCACTCTTTATTTTCTTATTCAATGCATATTCTTTTCATAAAAAAGAAAAATGTTTTGCTTTTGAAGAACATTCACAACTTTCATTAATAAGTTGATATATTAGTTCCCTTTAGTTGTCACTCAAAGCAGAGCAGAGCAGAGCAGGATTGTACCAGACTTAACAGAAGGTGCGAATACATTAATGTACTTTTTCATTGTAGGCTAAATAAAGAACCTCTCGGTTACGTATGTAACCCTCGTTCCCTGAGTAGGGAACGGAGACGTTACGTCGGATGACGACGAATGGGGTTTCGCTTAGAAAGCCTATCAACTTCGAGTCTTACAAAACGAGTCAATGGAATGGAATTTGCATGGTGCAATCCTGCCCCACCTCGTGGGTATAAAAGGAGAACGCCGGCAATATGCAGATATGTTTTCGCTTCGGAGCCAAGTGTATGCTTCACTCCCTAAGCCATTCTGAGATCTTCTTCCTCTTCGAGACGAGCTTCTCTCCAGGTGTTGGTGTGACGGCGATTCCCAGCGAGTGCACATTCCCTGCGATCTGTGCAGTGATCTGCCAGTGTTTGTGTTTTCTCCCTGGTCGCTT